TTCTTCTTCCTCCTCCTTCTCTTCCCACCCCTCCTCCTCCCCTCCCCCAACAGAGCGTCCGACCAACCAAACGCCCACTAGTCATGAGCCAGTCTACACAGCCGGGGTCGTGAGCTCTGGGCGGCCACTTCGGAGGCTATTACCCGCCGGACTTCGTGTCGCAGAAGAAGGGACTAGTACAGATATTGGAGATGGGGCTCTACGGTGTACCCCTCGTCGAGTACCCATCTGTGGCAGTATCGACGACACGAAAGGTCAGAGAAGAAAAAGTAGTAGTAGCAACTAAGTCTTCTTCAGGTCTCTCTCTCTCTCTCTCTCTCTCTCTCTCTCTCTCTCTCTCTCTCTCCCTGTATAATAATTAGTGAGATATATAGAAAAAAGACAGGAAAATGATGACAGACTCCACAATGAAGCTGCACATCAAAAGACCTTTTTCCTCCTTCTTCTCAAAAGACCCATTCGTTAAATAATACTTCCCGGGGATCTCCCTCCCTCCCCACAACCTTCTGCTAGGCTCCTATCACCACTAAGTCCTCCTCACTATAAACTCACAATAGAATGAGGTCAACATAAAGCTAGAGCCTTATTGTGGAGGAGGAGGAGGCTTATGAGACAACAATATACCACTATGCTTTTGTCAAATAAATCTCATCTCAATGACTCGTATTGTGTGTGTGTGTGTATAGAAAGTTTTAGGTTAAGGTGGTAGAAAGGTAAAGAGGTGTTACTAGAGGCTGGAGTTTGTGATAATAACGAGGAGGGTTTAACGAGGAGGGTTTAACGAGGAGGGTTTAACGTCACAATATAACTCTAGTGAGGAAGGCTTAGTGAGTTTTCTTCTTCTTTAACACGTGGTCTTGTAGCTCGTGGAACAACCCTTAGGTAGATTAGCATACTGGCTCACCTGTCCGCCTACCTGTCCGCCCACCTGTCCGCCCACCTGTCCACCCACCTGTCCACCCACCTGCCCGCCCACCTGTACCATACCTGGAAAAATACTGTACGCACCCCCTCCCCAAAAGGGTTTGTTATCACACTCACTCCATCACACTCACCCACCATACTCACCACCACACTCACTCCACCACACTCCACCACCATTCTCACTCCACCACACTCACTCCACCACCTCACTCCACCATTCTCACTCCACCACACCTCACTCCACCACACACTCACCCACCACACTCACTCCACCACACCCACTCCACCACACCTCACTCCACCACACTCCCATCCACTCCACCACACTCACCCACCACACTCACTCCATCGACAGAGAGAGACACAGAATGAGGACAGATATTCAACTGTCAATTAGAGGGACTCAGCCACCCTGAGTGATATATTGGAGACAAATCAATAGCGGGTGAATCTGTCTCTGTCTCTTTTTTCTCTGTCCATCTCTCTCTTTCTGTCTATCTCCCTCTCTCTCTTTTGGTTTCTATTTCTGTCTTTTTCAGTCTGCACTTTCTCTACTTGTCTGTCTCTCTCTCCCTCTGTCATTTTCTTTCTATTTTCCTCTATCTGTCTATCAGCCTATATATCTATCCTGTCTGCCTCCTTCTTTACCTTTTGTTTTGTCTATTTGTCTGCTTACCTGTCTATCTACCTGTCATTCATTCATCTATCTATCTATATGCCACTGCCTGTTTCTCCTTCTATCTGTCTACCTGTCCAATTGTTTTCTGTCTGTCTCTGTCTGTCTTGTTCTCCCGTATTTCCATGGACTGTAAAACTAACACTTGGACACACACACACACAAGGTACATAACAAGGAGAGAGAGAGAGAGAGAGGAGAGAAGAGAGAGAGAGAGAGAGAGAGAGAGAGAGAGAGAGAGAGAGAGAGAGAGAGAGAGAGAGAGAGAGTGTGTGTTCAAAGATAACGTGAAAGATTTGTCCCTGTCTAATTTTCACTAATTTGATAAAACGAAAAAATAAAAACTCCAAAAAGTTATGTGATTCAAGAGACTTATACAGAGGTAAAATATCTAGAAATGTCAAGGTGAAAGGTCAAGGTGAAAGGTCAAGGTGAAAGGTCAAGGTAAAGTCAGGTGAAAGGTCAAGGAAAAAGGTCATTATTACTTTTCTCAACAAGGAAAAACATTACTATATCGATGTCTTCCCAAAATTGCACATCAATTTAATCCAACACAGAATTTAATCCGACACAGAATTTAATCCGACACAGAATTTAATCCAACACAGAATTTAATCCGACACAGAATTTAATCCGACACAGAATTTAATCCAACACAGAATGTAATCCGACACAGAATTTAATCCAACACAGAATTTAATCCGAACACAGAATTTAATCCGACACAGAATTTAATCCAACACAGAATTTAACCGAAACACAGAATTTAATCAACACAGAATTTAATCCGACACAATTTAATCCGACACAGAATTTAATCCGACAGAATTTAATCCAACACAGAATTTAATCCAACACAGAATTTAACCGAAACACAGAATTTAATCCAACACAGAATTTAATCCGACACAATTTAATCCGACACAGAATTTAATCCGAAACACAGAATTTAATCCAACACAGAATTTAATCGACACAATTTAATCCGACACAGAAATTAATCCGACACAGAATTTAATCAACACAGAATTTAATCCAACACAGAATTTAATCCGAAACACAGAATTTAATCCACCACAGAATTTAATCCGACAATTTAATCCGACACAGAATTTAATCCGAAACACAGAATTTAATCCAACACAGAATTTAATCCGAAACACAGAATTTAATCCAACACAGAATTTAATCCGACACAATTTAATCAACACAGAATTTAATCCAGCAGAATTTAATCCGAAACACAGGAATTTAATCCAACACAGAATTTAATCCGACACAATTTAATCCGAAACGAATTTAATCCGACACAGAATTTAATCCGAAACACAAGTTGGAATTATTAATGTAAACCGTAATGATGATATTAAGCATCTAGACACATATTACAGGTACATACAAATGAGATAACAGTGAGTTAATATCCAGTGGTACACCACGGACTGCAATACTGGGGTGAATATGTCCAGGGTAATGGGTTAGGTTAGGTTAGGTTAGGTTAGGTTAGGTCAGGTTAGGTTAGGTTAGGTTAGGTCAGGTTAGGTTAAATGGTAATGGCAACGGTAGAGTCTCGGTGAATTTTAGCCGTCATTTTACCTTCATTTTAATTTATTAAATGGTTGGCGGGGAGGAAGGAGGGGAGGGAAGGTGGAGGGATGAGGGAGAAGGGAAGGGGAGGGAAGGGAAAGGGATGGGGAGTTTGGTGAGTAATGAAAAGTCTAGTTAAAGGGTTTTAAGGTTGATAAGGGGAGTTAATTCACCTTAAAGGGTTTTTGTATTCACTTTAAAGGAGGGTTTATGTACGTAAACAATCTTACAAACACACAGACGCTTCTAAACACCAAACACACACACACACACACACACACACACAAACACACACACACACACACACACACACACACACACCTGCACCTGCGGATAATTAATGTCACCTGTACTACTCACACCTGGAAATTCATTTAATAGGTAATAGAAGGGTTTAAATTATTATATATATTATAAATACGACAGAATAATGGAAGATTTCCCTTATTATGTGTGTGTAGGTGTGGTGGATTGAGATGAGGTGAGGAGGTGGAGGGAAGGGAAGGTGAGGGAAGGGAAGGAGGGAAGGAAGGGAAGGGAAGGAAGGAAGGTGAGGGAAGGGAAGGAAGGAGGGAAGGGAAGGAAGGGAAGGGAAGGGGAAGGTAAGGGAAGGAAGGTGAGGGAAGGAAGGAGGGTGGAAGGGAAGGGAAGGGAAGGGAAGGTGAGGGGAGGGAAGGGAAGGGAAGGGAAGGTGAGGGAAGGGAAGGTGAGGAAGGGAAATGAGGGAGGGAAGGTGAGGGAGGAAGGTTAAAGTGATATGATTACTGTCAGAAATACATGACGAATCTCATATTGTCTTGCTCTTGATGTTGAAAGATGGCAGGATTGTCTGTCTGTCTGTCTATGTCTGTCTGTGTCCCTGTGCTCTCTCTCTCTCTCTCTCTCTCTCTCTCTCTCTCTCTCTCATTTCCCTCACCCTTGATCTTAAGCTCCCAATCTCAGCAGTTTCCCTTTGACCTACCCTACGAGGTTATCCAGGTCACCTTGATCCCCTATGCCTTGACCATTACCATAAAAACCCTAATATCTTAATACCGACCTATTAAATGACCTTTGATCAAGGAAAAAACTAACCTAACATAACCCTGGTTCTCTATAACGAAACCCTGATTCTCTTTAAAGTAACCCTGATTTAACGAAACCCCCTAACTATCTGATCCTAATCTTAAGACAAAAAAAATAATAACCCTGATTTAAACAACAATTGACCTTTGATCTATGTGTTGACAGAGGAGCTGAGGACAGAATGGTGTCTCAGAGGCCACCAATCAGCTGCCTTTTGGCCATTCATGATGAGTTACAATGAGTATGGCCACGCCCCCAGGAACCCACCCAACTTCGACGGGGGCTTTACTCGCCAGCTCACGTGAGTCAGTCATTCTGGGTGGAGGGGAGATTGAGTCACTGTGTGGTATGGAGGTGTTGCTACAGGTGAGATTTTGAGTCATGACCGTGAATCACTGCTTTGAGTCATTATCACCTTGAGTCATTTCTTTGAGTTGCTGGTACAGGTAAGATTTGGAGTCATAATTACCTTGAGTCACTGTTTGAAGTTGTTGTTGAGTCACTCAGCTACAAAAGGGCTTCAACAACTAACCCACCTGAGTCACCAATAGGAAAGTTGAGTCAGTACATATTGTTGAGTCACTATCGGTTACCCTATAACTATGAATCACATGTGAGTCTTTGTTTAGTCACTTTGAGTCACGGTTGAGTCACTGTATTACACACTCCCTCAGAATTATACCTGCACTCTCCTTACATTTCAGAGTACAATGTGCAGTCTTTATACCCAGAGTACAATGTGCACTTTTATACCCCAGAGTACAATGTGCAGTCTCATTATACCCCAGAGTACAATGTGCACTTTTATACCCCAGAGTACAATGTGCACCTTTATAACACAGAGTACAATGTGCACTTTTATACCCAGAGTACAATGTGCACTTTATACCACAGAGTAAAATGTGCACTTTATACCCACAGAGTACAATGTGCACTTTTATACCACAGAGTACAATGTGCACTCTCCTTATACCCCAGAGTACAATGTGCACTCATTATACCCCAAGTACAATGTGCTCTCATTATTTTACAATGCTCTCATTATACCCCACAGTACAATGTGCACTCTCATTATACCCCAGAGTACAATGTGCAATCTCATTATACCCAGAGTACAATGTGCACTCTCATTATACCCTAAGTACAACGTGCACTCTCATTATACCCAGAGTACAATGTGCACTCTATTATACCCAAGTACAATGTGCACTCTCATTATACCCAAGTAAGTGCACTCTCATTATACCCCAGAGTACAATGTGCGCTCTCATTATACCACAGAGTACAATGTGCACTCTCATTATACCACAGAGTACAATGTGCACTCTCATTATACCCCAGAGTACAATGTGCACTCTCATTATACCCCAGAGTACAATGTGCACTCTTCCACAGGTATTTCATCAGGCAGAGGTACATGATCTTGCCCTACCTGTACACCCTCTTCTATCAAGCTCACCTGAATGGATCACCTGTAGCGAGACCCCTCTTCTACGAGTTCCCTGGCGATATGGGTGAGTAGAGAGAGAGAGAGAGAGAGAGAGAGAGAGAGAGAGAGAGAGAGAGAGAGAGAGAGAGACTGATTTCACGTTAAGTAATATATTCATGGTTCCAATATCCTCAAATTTCTACATCAACTGAGTGAAGAACCGCAAACCTTTCCACCCCCCTCCTCCCTCTCCCTCCCTCTCACTACCGACCTCCCTCTTTTTCTCCTTCCCTCTCACTACCTACCAACCTACCTACCTCCCTCCCCCTCCTCTCTCTCTTCCCCTCTCTCCCTTCCCCTTCCCTCCTCCTCTCTTTCCTTGCCCTTCTTCCCCTCATCCCCCTCCCTCTCTTCCCCCTCATCCCCTCCCTCTCCTCACCTTCACTTAACCTTACACCACCAGACTACACAACGCATAAAAATAAATATTCACTGATTACTTCCAAGAATCAATTTATAATCTCAGGCTTCTTGGCTCGTGAGAACACCCCCGCCACACTTCTTCTTGTTCGCGGTAACTTGCAAGGTGATACAGTTACGGGATCTCCTTACCTTAACCCTTTGATGATGCTTTAACCCTTTGAGGAGGAGGATTTAACCCTTTGAGAACGATTATTTAAACCTTTTGATTATGTTTTAACCCTTTGAAGACGATGATTTAACCCTTTGATTACGCTTTAAAGCTTTATAGGACGATGATTTAACCCTTTGACGACGACGATTTAACATTTCCATAAACATTTGAGACTCCACCTATACGTGTGGTACAATTTTTTAATAGATCGTCTTAGATGTTTCCTCAGCTCCTCACCACAAAGGGAAGAAAAAGTTGAGGAGGATAACATTGACGGAGGTATTTTGGCGAGATTCAGGGGGGCAGGAGGAGAGGAGGGGGAGGAGGAGGAAGAAGGGGAGTGAGCTGAAGTATCTGGGGATGTGGCAGAATTGACGATTCTCTCTCTCTCTCTATCCCCTTCCTTTTATCTCTCTTTCTCTATATGTCTCTATCTCCCTTTCTCTCTCTCTCCCTATCTATCTCTTTCCCTCCACCCTCTCTCTCTCTCTAGTTTCACGAATTTAAAGACAAAAGCGAAGATACAGGTACAATTACAAGTTACAGACAGGTACACATACAGGTACAGATACAGGTACACATACAGGTACACATACAGGTACACAGATACAGGTACACATACAGGTACATGTATCAGGTACACATACAGGTACAGATACAGGTACACACAGGTACATATACAGGTACACATACAGGTACATATACAGGTACACATACAGGTACAGATACAGGTACACATACAGGTACATATACAGGTACACATACAGGTACAGATACAAGTTACAGACAGTTACAGGTATAGGTACAAGTTACAGACAGGTACAGGTTACAGATACAAGTTACAGACAGTTACAGGTATAGGTACAATTAGTTACAGATACAAGTATAATTACAGGTACAGTTACAGGTAAATATGCAGACATAGGTGAAGAGAGGTTAAATGAAATAAGAAAGGAGGTAATTCTCAACTCCAGGACATACACACACGTGGAGGCCAAAACAACTCGAGTAGGAGGTCAGCCTCGAGGAACACAGAGCTGGAGGTTAAGGTCGAGGAAATACAATAATACTTAAGTGTTATTACTTTGACCTTTGGGGGACAAGAGAAACCTTTTATCGAGGAGTGTACTTGACTCTCTCTCTCTCTCTCTCTCTCTCTCTCTCTTTGGGTTTGTCTTTCTTAATCAATCTCTCTCTCTCTCTCTCTCTCTCTCAACTCTTATCTATATACGCAAATATTAAGCCCAAACCTATATTACACACACACACACACACACACACACACACACACACACACACACACACACACACACACACACACACATCTACTGTCGAAAATAACAAGGATTCCCAAGTTATTGTTCTCAACTCTGTAACCCTGAACAAACGACCATTGCTCACGAGTATATAACACGGATACTATTACAATACCTGGTGGGGGATTTTCTTAACCAGAAGTTCTCGGGAGGGGGGATTTTATTTCAGGTTCCATTGTAATTATGTTTCACCGAGCTGCTAAATTATTGTGATTAGTGATTTTATTGTAATTACTGTAATGACGTTATTAGAGAGAGAGAGAGAGAGTCGTGAAGTACAATCACAAATACAATTGGTCTTCATCCATACACAGATTTTTGTTTTTGTTTTTTGTTTTTGTTTTACCTTAGAACGTAATGAAAAGAAACCTTACCATTCACGGTGCAGTAAATGTTTGGGGCACAAGGCACGACAAAAGCCTTTCCTCTGAATTTACGAGCGCCAATAAATTTCGCCTAGTTTTGAAATTACCGCAGCATATCCCCCTGCCAAATTGCTTACCCGTTGCCTCTGTGTGTGTGTGTGTGTGTGTGTGTGTGAGTGTGTGTGTGTGTTTACTGGCAATATTAAACGCTCAGCAAACTAGACATTAAGTAAGTCATATGTTTATCAAGTAAGTCATATGTTTATCAAGTAAGTCATATGTTTTTTTCTTAATTTGTAAAACTGAGGAAACATTTAACTAGTCTCATTATCTCTCCTATCCCTCTTATTCTCCCTCTCTCTATCTCACACTTCCTCTCCTTCTCTCTCTCACACTCTCACCCTCTCTCACTTACAATCACTCCCTCTCTCACACACTCTTTCCCTCTCACTTACAATCAGACTCCCTCTCTCTCACACTCTTTCCCTCTCACTTACAATCAGACTCCCTCTCTCTCACACTCTTTCCCTCTCACTTACAATCAGACTCTCTTTCTCATACTCTTTCCCTCTCACTTACAATCAGACTCCTCTCTCTCACTCTTTCCCTCTCACTTGACAATAGCTTCCCTCTCTCTCTCCCTCTCTCCTCCCCTCTCCTCCTCTCCTCTCTCCCTTCCCCCCTCTCTCCTCTCCCTTTACCAACATGGAAGAGGAACACGTCGCTTCTGAACTAAAGAATAATAATAAAAATAAATAATGAGAATAAATTTGTCCCTTTTCCCCCATAAACACCAGAATCTTTATATATAATTTATTTATTTATATATACACATTCGAATATTTTTCCCTTATATAAAACATGAAGTTATACAGTCCAGTTGATTTGTAAAGGACACGATATCTCTAAACGTCAATTCATGCTTCATATAAATTCATGTTTATTTTCCTTTGCTATAGAAGCATTCATTCATTGTCGACTTTTTTTTTAATTGAGTTTTTTTTCTGTGTTAATGAACGTAAAAGTTATATTTATTAATTATGATGATGATGATGATTATAATAATTTTAATAATAATAATAATAATAATAACAATAATACTAATAATAATAACAAGAATAAGGACAACAATAATATAACCTAAAATAGCATCATTAACAACAACAAAAACAACACCAATAATTACAACAACAAAAACAACAAGCAAACATCAATAATAATCACCGCAACTAACAACCCAACCTAACCCAACGTAACCTAACCTAACCAAACCTAAAACCCCAACCCTAACCTAACTCCTTAACCTAACCCAACCAAACCCCTAGCAACCCCTAACCTAATAACCTAACCTAACCTAAACCCTAACCGCAACCTTCTTAACAACCTAACCTAACCTAACCTACTTAACCAACTAACCTGACTCCCGATATCCCCAAGCCACACGACCCTTGGGTATACATACACATAATTATACATCCTAACATACACACCTTATGTATACTACCCTCTCTGTACGTCTTTGAGAACATGTATACAACAACGTCACTGGATATTAACATTATTCTTCTGGTATAATCCGTCGTGGTTCTATAATTCTGGCAGTTATAGTTAAAATTAATCCGTGTAATTGACCTCATGCCGTATAATCACTTGGGTCGGTATAATCGCTTTAGTTTTTATATAATCGAGTGTTGGTATAATTTCTATATTTTCTATAATTCACTTTGTTATACGTATCTAAGCTCTATGTATGATTTATCTCAGTATACATAACTCAATTGTATGATTCGCCTTAGTATACATAATTAAAGTATAATTCATCTCGGTATACGTAACAAACCTGCATAATTCACCATACATAATTAACCTGTATACATAACTTACCTGTATGAATCACCTTAATACACACAACAAACCTCCACAATTCACCATACATAATTAACCTGTATAAATCACCACAGCATACAAAACAAACCACAATTCACCATACATAATTAACCTGTATACATAACTTACCTGTATGTATCACCTTAATACACACAACAAACCTCCACAATTTACCATACATAATTAACCTGTATACATAACTTACCTGTATGAATCACCTTAGCACACAAAACAAACCTCCACAATTCACCATACATAATTAACCTGTATACATAACTTACCTGTATGTATCGCCTCAGTCTGACAGGTGAATTAGACTGACACCATCATCACACTGCCCCCTCTTCTCACTCACAGGTTCACGGGAGATCTCGTCACAATTCCTGCTGGGGGAGCACCTGCTCGTGTCTCCAGTGTTCCAGTCTCTGGAGAATGGTACCAGCGTCCAGCTCAAAGTTCATTTTCCTCCTGGCTGCTGGTGAGTACTGGAATGGCAAATAACAAGAGGGTTTTAGTTAGGAAGGTAGGTTAGGTTGGAGTGTAGATTGGACTGGATTAGGTTAGGTTAGGTTTGGTTAGGTTAGGTTAGGTTGGAGTGTAGATTGGACTGGATTAGGTTAGGTTAGGTTAGGTTGGAGTGTAGATTGGACTGGATAAGGTTAGGTTAGGTTAGGTTGGAGTGTAGATTGGACTGGATTAGGTTAGGTTAGGTTAGGTTGGAGTGTAGATTGGACTGGATTAGGTGTGTGAGTGTGTGTGGGTCGCATTTTAAATATGGTTTAATAAAATCTCTTAATCGTAACAAACAGCTGACAGTCACCACTAAACTATAAACAAGGACATCAACTCAACAAGGGGTCGTTTAAAGCTCGAATCCGGGTACCTGGTGTGTATTTAAACTCCCATTATGGAACAATTTTCTCTGATATATACGAACCTCTGGAGTCCTGGTTTCAGATTCGCTAGGGTAAAACTATTTCCTCATAACGGGATATGTAAGAATTTGTCTAAGTAGATAAATTACGTTGTTACTATTGGAAATGTCTCAAAATGGCGGCAAAACTGTGTGGAGACCTTACCTTAACTAGATATCTTCACTTAGTAATTCAGGTGTGTGTGTGTGTGTGTGTGTGTGTGTGTGTGTGTGTGTGTGTGTGTGTGTGTGTGTGTGTGTGTGTGTGTGTGTGTGTGTGTGTGTGTGCCCATTCACATCTAATGAAACTCAATATAATGGACTATCATCTCTATGTATTTCGATAGATGGGTTTCACATCTAACGGACCCTCGATATAACGGACTTTCCTCTCCATATAGTCCGTTAAATAGAGGTGTCACTGAATATATGAAAAACATAAATATTCACCATACACGTATAATAATGTGGATGAGGGTCGCTTAACCTGGCCCTATCACCGTCAACTGGCCTTGTCACCATCATCCGTCACATTACCCCGTCACCCGTCACTCCACCCACGTTGTGTTCAAGGCTGATTCTCGCTAACTGCATTACAACCAGTCATTCACTCACCACACAGGGGGGTAACTGTATATTGTATTAACACTGTAGGATGGAGGCAGGAAGCCGTGTATGTTGTATTAATAGGATGGAGACAGGAAGCCGTGTATGTTGTATTAATAGGATGGAGGCAGGAAGCCGTGTATGTTGTATTAATAGGATGGAGGCAGGGAGCCGTGTATGTTGTTAATATGGATGGAAGGTGACCATGTATGTTTTAACGAGATGGAGGGAACCGTGTATAGACAGAGACAAACAGACAGACAGACAGATAGACAGACAGGTGTGTGTGTGTGTGTGTGTGTGTGTGTGTGTGTGTGTGTGTGCGTGTGTAAGTCATGCATCAGGTGTGTATAACAGTCGCCGGGTGGTATCAAGCAACATGTGACTGCTCTTACTACAATACTGCTGCTCGAACTGCTCTTGTTATTGCGACGTATTGCTGTTGTTCGCCCTGCTGTTACTGGTGCTGCTGCTGTTACTGGTGCTCCTGCTGTTACTGGTGCTGCTGCTGTTACTGGTGCTGCTGCTGTTACTGGTGCTGCTGCTGTTACTGGTGCTGCTGCTGTTACTGGTGCTGCTGCTGTTGCTAGGTGTTGCTGCTGTTACTGGTGCTGCTGCTGTTACTGGTGCTGTTGCTGTTACTGGTGCTGTTGCTGTTACTGGTGCTCCTTGCTGTTACTGGTGCTGCTGCTGTTACTGGTGCTGCTGCTGTTACTAGTGCTGCTGCTGTTACTGGTGCTGCTGCTGTTACTGGTGCTGCTGCTGTTACTGGTGCTGCTGCTGTTACTGAGTGCTGCTGCTGTTACTGGTGCTGCTGCTGTTACTGGTGCTGCTGCTGTTACTGGTGCTGCTGCTGTTACTGGTGCTGCTGCTGTTACTGGTGGTGCTGCTGTTACTGGTGCTGCTGCTGTTACTGGTGCTCCTGCTGTTACTGTGTGCTGCTGCTGTTACTGGTGCTGCTGCTGTTACTGGATGCTGCTGCTGTTACTGGTGCTGCTGCTGTTACTGGTGCCTGCTGTTACTGGTGCTGCTGCTGTTACTGGTGCTGCTGCTGTTACTGGTGCTGCTGCTGTTACTGGTGCTGCTGTTTACTAGTGCTGCTGCTGTTACTGCTGCTGTTTACTGGTGCTGCTGCTGTTACTGGTGCTGCTGCTGTTACTGGTGCTGCTGCTGTTACTGGTGCTGCTGCTGTGCTGTTGCTGCTGCTGTTACTGGTTGCTGCTGCTGTTACTGGTGCTGCTGCTGTTACTGGTGCTGTTGCTGTTACTGGTGCTGCTGGTGTACTGGTGCTGCTGCTGTTACTGGTGCTGCTGCTGTTACTGGTGCTGCTGCTGTTGACTGGTGCTGCTGCTGTTACTGGTGCTGCTGCTGTTACTGGTGCTGCTGCTGTTACTGGTGCTGCTGCTGTTACTGGTGCTGCTGCTGTTACTGTGCTGCTGCTGTTACTGGTGCTGCTGCTGTTACTGGTGCTTTGCTGTGTTACTGATGCTGCTGCTGTTACTGGTGCTGCTGCTGTTACTGGTGCTGCTGCTGTTACTGGTGTTGCTGTTGTTACTGGTGCTGCTGCTGTTACTGGGTGCTCCTGCTATTTGCTGGTTCTGCTGGTTTACTGGTTTGCTGCATTTTCTGTTGTTACTGCTGTTGCTGTTACTCTTGTTTGCTGGTTACGCTGCTGCTTTTGCTGGTTGCTTCTGCTTATGTTGCTGGTTGTTTGCGTTACTGGTTACTCTTGTCGTTGCTGGTGCTGCTGCTGTTGCTGGGGTTGGCTGCTGCTGTTACTGGTGCTGCTGCTGTTACTGGTTGCTGGCTGCTGTTGCTGGTTGCTGCTGTTGCTGGTGCTGCTGCTGTTACTGGTGCTGCTGCTGTTGCTGGTGCTTCTACTTTTGCTGTTACTGGTGCTTTACTGGTGTTGCCTTTGTTTGGTGCTGCTGCTGTTACTGGTTGCTGCTCTGTTACTGGTGCTGCTGCTGTTACTGGTTTTTTACAATGTTGCTGTTGTGCTGCTTGCTCTGGTGTGCGTTGCTGTTACTGGTGCTGCTGCTGTTACTGGTGCTGCTGCTGTTACTGGTGCTGCTGCTGTTACTGGTGCTGCTGCTGTTACTGGGTGCTGTTGCTGTTGCTGGTTGCTGCTGTTACTGGTGCTGCTGCTGTTACTGGTGCTGCTGCTGTTACTGGTGCTGCTGTTTACTGGTGCTGCTGCTGTTACTGGTGCTGCTGCTGTTACTGGTGCTGCTGCTTTGCTGTTACTGCTGCTGTTACTGGTGTTGCTTGCTGTTTTACTAGTGCTGCTGTTACTGGTGCTGTTGCTGTTACTGGTTGCTGCTGTTACTGGTGCTGCTGCTGTTGCTGGTGCTGCTGCTGTTACTGTTGTGCTGCTGTTGCTGGTGCTGCTGCTGTTACTGGTGTTCCTGCTGTTACTGGTATGCTGCTTGTTACTTGCTGCTGTTGTTACTGGTGCTGCTGCTGTTACTGGTGCTGCTGCTGTTACTGGTGCTCCTGTATTACTAGTGTTGCTGCTGTTACTGGTGCTGCTGCTGTTACTGGTGCTGCTGCTGTTACTGTCTGCTGCTGTGTGCTGCTGCTGTTACTGGTGCTGCTGCTGTTACTGTGCTGCTGTTACTTGCTGCTGCTGTTACTGGTGCTGCTCTGTTACTAGTGTGCTGCTGTTACTAATTGCTGTTGCTGGTGCTACTGCTGTTACTGGTGTTGCTGTGTTACTGGTACTGCTGCTATTACTGAATGCTGCTGCTGTTTACTGGTGCTGCTTCTGTTACTGGTGCTGCTGCTGTTTTACTGTATGTTGCTGCTGTTACTGGTGCTGTTGCTGCTGTTCATATGTTGCTGCTGTTACTGGTGTGCTGCTGTTACTGGTGCTGCTGCTGTTACTGGTGTTGCTGCTGTTACGTGCTGCTGCTGTTACTGGTGCTGCTGCTGTTACTGGTGCTGCTGCTGTTACTGGTGCTGCTGCTGTTACTGGTGCTGCTGCTGTTACTGGTGCTGCTGCTGTTACTGAGTGCTGCTGCTGTTACTGGTGCTCCTGCTGTTACTGGATTGCTGCTGCTGTTACTGGTGCTGCTGCTGTTACTGGTGCTGCTGCTGTTACTGGTGCTGCTGCTGTTACTGGTGCTCTGCTGTTACTGGTGCTGCTGCTGTTACTGGTGCTGCTGCTATTACTGGTGCTGCTGCTGTTACTGATGCTGCTGCTGTTACAGTGCTGCTACTGTTACGTTGCTGCTGTTACTGGTGCTGCTGCTGTTACTGGTGCTGCTACTGTACTGGTGTTGCTGCTGCTGTGGTTGTGTGGTTCTGGTGCTGCTGCTGTTACTGGTGCTGCTGCTGTTACTGGTGCTGCTGCTGTTACTGGTACTGCTGCTGTTACTGGTGCTGCTGCTGTTGCTGGTGCTGCTGCTGTTACTGGTGCTGCTGCTGTTACTGGTGCTGCTGCTGTTACTGGTGCTGCTGCTGTTACTGAGTACTTTGCTGCTGTTGCTGCTGCTGTTACTGGTGCTGTTGTTGCTGGTTATTACTGGTGTTACTGTTTGTTGCTGCTTTGCTGTTACTAGTGCTCTGCTGTTACTGGTGCCTGCTGTTACTGGTGCTGCTGTTGCTGATTGCTGCTGCTGTTACTTGCGTTGTGCTGCTGCTGTTACTAGTGCTGCTTATTACTGGTGCTGCTGCTGTTACTGGTGCTGCTGCTGTTACTGGTGCTGCTGCTGTTACTGTGCTGTGTGCTGCTGCTGTTACTGGTGCTGCTGTTGCTGCAAACACTGGTGCTGCTGCTGTTACTGTTGCTGTTACTGTGCTGCTACTGTGCAGTGCTGCTGCTGTTACTGGTGCTCTGCTGTTACTGGTGCTGCTGCTGTTACTGGTGCTGCTGCTGTTACTGGTGCTGCTGCTGTTACTGGTGTGCTGCTTAATTGCTGCTGCTGTTACTAGTGCTGCTGTTACTGGTGCTGCTG